CGCCCCCAGCCCTGAGGCTGCATTAATTTCCCCGGGGCGGTGGGGGCGCTCACAGGCAGCGGGGCCGTAGGGGTGCTGGGGAGCCCGGCGCTCCCTGCCGTGCGCCCCGTGGGGCCGGGGTCCCTGCTCGGCGGGGAGCTGCGAGTTCCCAAGTGCAGAAGCCACTCCGCTCGGAGCAGTCAGTCAAAGCCCAGCTCGTCTGACCCTGCCCGTTTCTTTTCCCAGAGCAGGACCCCCAGGAGCGGAGCTAGAGATGATCTCCCACATGGATCGGAAGGAGGAACTGTGGTTCTCCCATCTCCACGCCTACGAAGGGAAGACCGTTGTGAGTGGCACCTGTCCAGGTAAGGGGCCGGTGCAATCATCTGTGAACCTGTCGGTGAGAAAAACGGCTCCAGGATCCCCAAATCCCACCAGAATGCGCACGAGTGGCGGTACTGGGTTGGACCAGGGTCCTTCCAGCTTTGCCTGCTGTCTCCGACAATGGCCAGTGTTGGAGACACAGGGAGGAGCAGACAAGCGGTGGTGTGTCCCTATGTGCTTTCCCAGGCCCAAGCAATCTGTGGCTTCAGAAACTCCTGAACTAGACGTGTGATGTCTTGAAATCTTGCAGCTCTCTGTGTATTTTCTTGCCTTCTGAAGTTGTGTACCTTCTAGCATCCATGACAGCTTGCAGCAAGTTCAACAACTTATTTAGCTGTTTTATGAGTCGCTGCCTCCTTTTGTTTGCTTTGAAGCTGCCTTCTAGTAGTTCACTTGATGTCAGTAGTTCTTAATTTAGAACAGACGGTGCAGGATGGATCCCTTACCCACCCCACAGGCCACTTGTGTTTTTATAGTCCTCTATGATATCCCCTACCAGCTTGTACCTTTTCCCAGCAGAATGGGCAGTTGAGTCATCTCCTACAGAGAAGCTGTTCTGGGCCTTTGATCATTCGTGTCATGCCTCTCTATCTTCCTCAGCTCTATTAGAGTTTCTCTGAAATGGGGGATCCGCCCTCCCCCTTGCACACAGTCAGGATGCGGGGTTTGAGCAGCAAGGCAGAATTACATTCTCTTTTATTCTCTATTTTTTTCCCCAACAATCACCAACATTCGACTAGCTGTTTTGTCTGCCTAGGAGCTGCGGTTTTCATCCGTCTGCTCTACCTCCAAGGTGCTATTCCTGAACGATACCAAGAACATCCTAAGCCCATCCTGGTACAAGTGCAAGGTATAGAGGCTGTTCCCCTCTGCAGTTCTTTATGTTTACCTGCGGTCAATGTCCCCTGTCATTCCGCTGTCACCTGGTTGGTCAGCATCGTAAGGCTCTGCCACAGTTTATCTGTATAGTCAGCCTTTGTGTCTTTAACCCTGAATAACACAGAATCATCAGCAGATATTTCCACCTCCCCTTTCCCTCCCTCAGCACCCTATTGAGGGGCATTCATCCCACGGCAGCTTGGTTTCTTTATCAGTTTTGGTGAAGGACGAATGTCTTTTGGGAATGCCTTTGGACTCCAGATCTCCCTTTTGCTAAAATTGGTGACATCTCTGAAGAACTCCAAGTGGTTTGGAACTCCAGTGAACACACTTCAGTGTCTCTGAAGTGAGACATCTCTTTCCAAAGGCCATGCCAGCTCTTCCCCAGTCTGCCCTCTTTGGCCATCTGTCCATTAATTATCTTAGTCCAATTTCTGTTCGTTTGCTTGGAATGTTGGGCCCCAGATCTCCCCTCGAGCCCTTTCTCTGGCATCACATCAACCACCTTCCAGTCCCCCGGCAGCGAGGTACCACAGTCAGGAGTCCAGCAGCGTTGTGAGGTCGTGTGAACAGCCCTGCTGGGTTAGACCAAAGGTCTGCGTAGCTCCGAGCCCTGCCTCGGGGATTCGGGGACTGGCTAGAAGTGGATGCCAGGGAAGGGGATAAGATAAGCATACAGTGACACCTCCCCAGCACAGTCTAATGTCATCCAGCAGCCTGAGGCTTACTCATGACGGTGGTGTGTTATTTTTAATAGTTCTCACGGGTTTCTCTTCTGTGAACTCTTGAATTCGGTGCTGGAGACGATGGCTGTTTCCTCCCGCTGCTGTGGGACGGGACAGAGCATCAGCCAAAACTCCTTCTGCTTCTGGCCTCTCTTGAGAAAGAGAGATCCAGGGGTACATTTAAGGTGATATTTAGGTTCTCTCCCAATACGTACACTTACTCTGCTTATCTGGAGCTTGCCTTGTAGCTATAGCACTGGCAGACTTGGGCATATCAGAGGTCTTACCATCAACCCAAATTGGCATAGGCTGAGGAAGAACCACAGCCTTCCTATCTTTCTTGCTTATTCATTTTTGCTAGTTCAGCCTTATGCTTCCAGTATTATTTCCTCAGCATTGTGAACTTACTCTCCTTCCACTTAAAATGCCTCCAGTGAGTTCCTGTCATCGCGATTTTGATCAAACCCTTTGCAGACAACTTGTCCCGGATGCCAGTGAAGATACCTAGTGGCTCAGAAGTAACAAAAATGGTTGTAGAAGTTGAGAGCTGGAGCCATGGCTGTAATCATTGTAATAAGAAGCTTGAAACTCCTGACCTTCTCCAAAAAGTACAGAACACCATAGAAGACTTGATTCTCATGTACTTTGAAGGCCTTTTCAAGTTACGTGTAAGAACCAAACTCTTCTTATCCTGTTTTTGGATATCGCCTTTCTCTCTTCCTCCAGGCCTGGATGGAGCAGCTGCAGACAAATGGAAATGCCTTCATGGTGAATAGCAAAGTTCCAGTTTCTGTTCCTCTCAAGGGATGATTTTAATGAAAACTATATGAGGGAAGAAGTGGCATCACTACCGCACCAAACTGCCATAAAAGGTATCTCAGGAGTTCACTGTGAAATCATATTGTGATGTTTTCTTATACTGACTAGAAAGAGGAAGATTAAATATGTGTGTATATCAGCCTGGGTTGAAATTCCAGACTCTCCTTCCTTTATCGCATACTTACGGTTCAGTAGTGACTCTCCTCTTCCAAGGCACGCACTTCCTTATCTCAACTCTGCCAGACCACAGGAAATGCCTGTGGTTTGTACATCAATCCCACGCAACTGATATGTTACTGGTTTATTTCACGAGAGTTTTCAGAGAACCAGGGGGTAGCCGTTGAATCTTTAAGCAGGCAAATCTGGAGGTCTGCGTGTTTGCAGCTTTAGTCCTTGGCCTGTTCCATATTTTGGGTCTACATATAGTCGACAGTGAGTCATCCTTCACCCCTGGAAGTCTGTATAAAGAGATCATCTGGAAATCTGTTTCCCTGATTGACCTCTCTTAAACCTGGATGCGATGCCTCTCTGAGATGCATGTTGCCGTTTCTACATCCCATGTACATCCCTCTGACGTCCATTTACCCTTCCCTGACAGCAGAAGGGTGCATACCACACCGGTCCTGTCTTGCCGATTCAATGTATAAGCCGTCAGTAAGCCTGCGAGGAGCTGCATTTCCCCACTGACAGCAAAAGCCACAGCGTTGCTGGGGGTACGTGCTTTTGAACCTGCTGGGATGCTCATCAAACTACGTTAGAGCAGTGGGCTGGAAGGAGTCACTGCTCTAAGTACCCCAGGAATCCATGCAAGCCCCTTGTCTTGGAAACGCTTTCAGCTGACCTTGAGTCTGCGCGGCATAGATTCATACCGGTTATGCTTCTGCAAGACTTTATGTGAATAAGAGGGCAGGGATTTCTTCATTGCCTGTGTCCCAGGAGCCGTTCATAACTGTTCGGCTAGCGTTACTTCCGCTGACTTGCGCTACCTTCATCTTCATCGTTTATCGGATTTCCTCAGCGCATAATCTGGAATTGGCCGTGGAGGATCTTCAGTTCACCAACCGCCTTTCACAACGGATTTGTTCTGCACCAATGGCAGCATCAAGTTACCTTTCTTCTGCTCTAAGACTGGCATAAGCCGGACTCCAGGCGGTCTCCGTGTCTCACGCCTTAGGGCCAGTGTCGTCTTTGTGCATCTTCTCTCTCTCTGCAATACTGGCAGCACAAGAGCAGGGAGGTTGCATCTGTTGCAATCCAAGTAATGTTCTGCCAAACAAGGCAGTTCTTTATGGCCCTCCTCTGACTCCCAGTTCAACTTTTAGTAACATTTTCAGATATAATATCCTGGAAGAGCAGCCATCTTTCCCATTCAAGCACTAAACTTCTACCTCTAATATGCCAATAATTTCAGTAGATTCAGGTTCTGGCAATGCATGCAGGGCTATTTCCAGGGTTTATTCTGTGAATACTCTGAAAAATCCACTGTGTAGTTTGGAGGGAAATATCAGAACTGTTTATACTTAAAGCCAATCTGCTGAATTTTTAGAATTTGGCCCCTTTTGATTTCCCCTGTCCAAAGTTTCCTGTCCTGTCTGTGACTTCTCTCTGGATTCTCATTTTATTGCAGCTGAAGATGGGATTGTGAGCAAGAAAGAGGAGAATGCCCACCAAGGCATCCCCAGGCCAGTGGAGCCCGAGGGTTTACTCTCGGGAATCTCCAAGGAGAACAGTTCCCAGAGTCCTGCACAGGACCCAGTCCGCCCACGCAGGTCAGAAAGGGTTCAGAGACCTCTGGGGAAGAGGCAAAGCCGAGTGACACTGCGTGGAAAAAGTTTCAGGAGGCTGCCAGATATTATCCAGCAGAGAAATCCTTCTGTGGGGAGACTGACGATATGTGGGGACTGCGGGAAGAGCTTCCGGGTGAGCTCCAACCTCATCCAGCATCGGAGAATCCACACTGGAGAGAAACCCTTTGCCTGCGCCGAGTGTGGGGAGAGTTTCCGGCAGCGGTCACATCTCGTCCAGCACCAGAGAATCCACACAGGGGAAAGGCCCTACGAGTGCTCCGAGTGCGGGAAGAGCTTCAGCATGAGCTCGAAGCTGATCCGGCACCAGGTAACCCACACTGGGGAGAAGCCCTACAAGTGTGCCGAGTGCGGGAAGAGCTTCTCCGGCAACTCGCAGCTCGTCCAGCACCAGCGAGTGCACACCGGGGAGAAACCCTACGAGTGCAGCGACTGCGGGAAGAGCTTCAGCGTGAGCTCAGCCCTGACGCGACACCAGCGGGTCCACACCGGGGAGAAACCCTATGAGTGCACGGAGTGTGGGAAGAGCTTCAGCCAGAGCTCCGAGCTCATGAAGCACCAGCGGGTCCACACCGGGGAGAAGCCCTACGAGTGCTCCGAGTGCGGGAAGAGCTTCACCGTGAGTTCAGCCCTCATCCAACACCGGCGGTTCCACATGGGTGAGCGCCCCTACGGGTGCACCGAGTGTGGAAAGAGCTTCACCGTGAGCTCTCACCTCATCCAGCACCGCCGCTTCCACACCGGGGAGCGCCCCTTTGAGTGCACCGAGTGCGGGAAGAGCTTCCTGTGGAGATCAGCCCTGCTGCGGCACCACCGGGTCCACACGGGGGAGAGGCCCTACGCCTGTGCTGACTGTGGGTACAGCTTTCGGCAGAGCGCCCACCTCATCCAGCACCGGCGCATCCACACCGGGGAGCGTCCCTACGCCTGTGCCGACTGCGGGAAGGGCTTCACCGTGAGCTCTGCGCTCCTCCGGCACCAGCAGATCCACAGGGGCGGGGAGCCCTAGGAGGGGAGAGTGTGGGGAGCAGTTAGGTCTGGTACCCTGTGAGCATCCCCGGGGAGCAAAGCCCAGCGTCTCTCTCCCTCCGCTCTACCGACCGCCCTGCTTGCGGAGGGTGAGAGCAGTTTCTTTTTAGGAGAACAAGTCCTAAAAGAGAGAGGTGGGAGAAGGGGAGAGGCGG